AAGAACAGAATCTCAACTTCACTTAGTGTCACAAGAGTCACTACAGAGGGATTTCTTTCCCAACATCTTTGTCATTTCTCAAACAGCTCAAGGTATTTAGCCACTAGTATCTTCACAGATAATGAAGTAAATCAATTCAATATGCTAACCTGTTAATTCTTAAACAACAAAATCTGTAATCCTCTGGTACTGATAATGGCAGCAACAAGATACTTGCAGATTTCGACAACTGGCATTCAGGAATTACCTTCCTTCTAGAGTGGTCCTCATGTCCACACACTTTGATGCACCTATTTAACTATGTCACTACACTGTCCCTTCCTGAAAAACAAGTTCCATCCATTCTGCTAGCACTACAATCCCCGAAGTTAAGTCAAATGAACATTAAGTGGCTTGAATCCTTTTTAGAAGAGCTTATTCGAATTCTTCTTTTACTCTTAAGACAGTAAATATTCAGGTTACATTCCCAAGCCATCTCTCCATATACCTGCTTTTACTTACAAACTGTCTTGAATAAACATTTTAATACTGCAATTACAATACCTTTGCTGGAATTCTCAGGATAGTTACACAACTTTTGACCAGAGCTAATGCTGACCTTTAGCGATTTATCAAATCATGAGGAACAAAAACTGCTCAATATTCATATACTATAAGTCAAGAAAGCAGTGTTCTCTGACTATTCACAGACTAGCATATTCCCTCAGTTATCCCATGCTGAGTCTAATAGCTTTGCAATCAGTTGAAGGAAAACTTTTTAAAGTTTTACAGTTTTGATATTCTGAAAGACGGAGAACCCATTTTTCTTGCTGTTGTGTTCAAACGATGTTCCCATCTATTAATAATGGACCTTACTTCTAATTTTAGTATCTTTGCCAAAAAAAAAATCTTCAATAGCTAGCACTTTCTTCTTAGGAAGGTATTTATATATAACTAACATTCTTTTCAGTACCTTTAAAAAGATTTAAATCTTTAGGTTTCTTTTAAGGCATTTTCTCAAGCCCTAAGTTAATGTATTCAGCCTGTCCTGCAGCCTACCCCATTTTTAAAGCCCTGTTCAAAACAGACACCAGAAGTAGATGCTGTATTTCAGTACTAGCCTCACCAGTGCCACCTCTTCCTACCATCTACCATTCCTGTCCATATTCATAAAGACTGAATTAGCTCTTTGTGCCACAGCATCACTGTAGAAGATCACTCCAAATTATTCATTCACTGACTCCCAAATCTTCTCCAGAGTTGCTGCTCTCCATAATGCAGTCCACTCTGGCCTGCATTTCCAGTTTCTTAAACAAATAACTTTGGCTACTTTAAAAGGCATTTTGCTGATTTTATTGGCCCAGCTTACCAAGTAATACAAACAGCTCTCTGTCCCTGCCTTGACAATACTTTCACGTCACTTGCACATCAGTAATGATTTTACAGTTTCTTTTGTATCACTGAAAAAAGTAAAAGTACTCAATATTGCCCACATTATGTCCCAAATCTCACAGAACACTTAAAAATATCACCTTCCTGCCCAGTGATGATTCCCAGAGAAACATCATTCCCAGATTGATATTTTTCAGCAACTGAAGTCTTCTAAGCACTTTCTTGGAACTCTGCTATAAACTATCAGAGCCTAATAGATGTCAAATAACATCTTGTTTGGTTATTAAGAGGTCTGGAAGTACATCTCTTGTTTCTTCTTATTTGAATACAAAGGATTTTTTTCCTCTAAAAGAAATACAAATATGTTTTTTGAATGTTGCTACTCTGCGAACATGGTTACTCATGATTTTACATCCTCATTGTTTTATTCTTAGCTTGCTGCAACACCATCCTCTTATCCATATCCTTGTCAGCTTACTTATCAGACAACTCTCTTGATGTCCTTAGCATCTGATTTGTTAACTGATTTGTCCATTGCAAAATGTTAATAAATTCTTCTTAAAGATGTTTTTATTTGCTTTACAATTCTTTATTTTGGGGTCTGACATAACTGACCAAGGCCAGATTTTTTTGTGTGTACTAGATCATGCATTTCATAGAAGCAAAGAAACAAAGTGCTAAAATCAGGAATGTTATTCTGAGATTGCATTTAAAGCAATGAAAAGGAATGTACTGTGATTGTTAAACATCCACGAGGATGTTTTTCACTCATCACATTAATCAGTTTTTATCCCCTTCTTTCAAACATTATTTTTGTGCTTTCAAATAAAATACTCTAGGCTTTTGTCACAGGTCAAACACTTGACATTTTTTACAGTGTGTTCTACAATGCCCAGCTCAGCAGCAGAACTACATTCACAGTAGTACCAGTGTCACTAGTGGACAGAGCAATGATGTATTAGGCAAAGGGGAGCAGCAAGGACTAATTTGCCATATGAGGACATATAAGTGTGTGAGAGGAATGCATGAACAATGGAGAACATATGCAAAGGTATCTTGCTCCTCTGGCACATCCCAAGGCACAAGATAAATGGCATTATTAACAGATCTGAGATATAAGAAATGCAGCACGAATTACACATGCAAATTCTTTCTTTCTCAAAATACTATCCTGGCCAGAAATACTCCTATGTGAAATAAAGTAAATTTTGTATAGTTTAAGAAGATATAATTTAGTAAATTAGAAGGTGAGAAAATGTCTTTATGTTCATTTCCTCACAGTAACTTGATTAAATCTGTCATTACAACATTTTTCATCACCACTACATTGGAGACAAAATGCAGACTTCAATATGTTTGAAATATCGGAAATGTCTTTATCTTTTGCAATATGCCCATAAAGGTGTATGCTTATAGCAGAAATTACGACATTCTAAAATAATTCAGTATGTATTCAATATCTACATTTCTGTAAGGAAAATAAGATGTTTTTTAAAAGTCTTACAGAGGGCCAATACACATTTGTATGCATCAGGCAACCATGCTTCAAAAGAGCTGGCTTGGTATCCTCAGTAACAGCTGGAGATATAATGCTAATAATATTGTAAAATAAGGCTTTATATATCAAAACAGTAACTTTTTTTTAAACTGTCCTTGATCTCTTATCATCTCATATTTAGTAACAGCCATCAGTGTATTCCTCCAATGTGACCTATATGTAGAATTAGAAGATGTTCTTAAGAGCTGTATTTTGAGCAAGTGAAAAAGGGGAAAAAAACCCACCCGAAAACCCCTAGCCTGGAACACACGGGGTCCATGGAAAACTACTCTCCTAGATACCAGCTGTAGCTCAGTGATAGATTAGATTTTGTCCACCAGAACACAGAGGTAACATTGACTAAAATGGTCACATACTCACTGTGGAGCCTGAGAAGTACGTGCATTACTGCTGGGTTCCACAAGTTTCATTGAAGCAAGGCATGAAAGTGCCTAGTGCTTGCAAGCTGGTGCCCACAGTAAAGTATACTTTGAGATAAGAGTTCAAAATAATAATCTGAATCTATTTTCATTATGTGGAAATGCAAATTCATTTGTTTTTTTGAAGTGCTCTGCCCTCTATAACACCCAAACACTACTTTGGAAGAATTATGGCCTGGGAACTCTCCGCAGTTTAGATTAAGAAAAAAATTAAGATTGCTTCTGTCATTTCTGTCCATCAGGAAGGAGCCTCATTACCCAAGGAGGCTTGTAATATGTTGTTACGCCAGTTGTATTTTATTACCATCGATTTATCCATAAACATAATGCAATTATGGCCATTTAAATATTATCCTTCAACTACTTACTTATCTTCTGGAGAGAAAGCAAGGCATATCTGAATACAGATCAGTTGATTTTGAGGTTAGGTAGTGAGTTAAACAGAGAGATGTGGTTCTTTTTAGTGCCTGTGGTTCTTCCACATGAATAAATCAGAGCAGCCTTACAGTATATTCTATGGAAAGCAAGACACAATAATCCCAGATGCAATCAGAACTTAATGGATTTGTCTGTTTTGAGTTTCCACTGGAGCTTTCCATGTGTACTCAGGGAACAAACCTTTTTATTCCCAACACCATAAACCATGGCCCAAAACTGGTTGCAATAATGGTAAAACACTACCACAAACCTGGCGGGTAGACAGATGTCCTGTGAAATTAGGCATGAAAAAGTAAGTTTTATTTTTATTTCAGATAAACCACAAAAGAGTAATATAACAGAAGGGGTTTATTAGCAAGACCACATACTGCCATTTGGACACCTAAGTATGAGAGCTATGGGTGCAATCAAGCTCTTCAAAGGCTTGTAACAGGGACATGGTATGCGAAGAAAAAGAAAACCTGTGTTCCGCATAAAGACCATAAAGATAGATCAAGTGTTAGCTGGACATTTGATCCAAGTAATTTTAAAACATTAAAAATTATCTTAAATAGCTTTATCCTTTGTTTCTGCATACAGGGAGGCTTTTTCCAGTTTTCCTAACATGGCTTTTCGCAGGCCTGAAGATTTATGAAACTCTAGATACTAAACTGGCCAAAACAGCCATTTTGGAGCTCAGTAATGTTTGAAGAAAATGCATTGTTGAGGAAAGAGT